CAGGAAGAAGCAGCTCCCTGTTTCATGAGGCCTGGGCACAGACCCTGGGAGAGCATCACCTCCACTTCATTTTAATAGTCAAAGCAGTCACAGAGCTTGTCCAGATTCAAGGAGAGGGGACACAGCCCCCACCTCTCTATGGGAAGTATATAGAAGAATTTGTGGCCATTTCTCTTTATGTTCCATGGGTGACGTCAGGAAGGGCTTTGCAAGTCATGTTAAGGCTTTTGATTTTTATCTTAAGAATAATGAAAAGCCATTTAAGAATTCTAAAGGGATGAGGGATAAAACATAATTGGACCTACCTTTTGAAAAGATCACTCCGGCTGCAGTATGAGAATGCAGTGGGAAGAGGATATTAAAAACTGAATGGCTCTTTCTTAGTTCCTCTTTCTTGACCCATATCTTGTCATACAGATTCATGTGAATATTGCTATGAGAATTTGGCCTAGGGTGATGACGGTGGAGACAAGAGAACTACAGATTCTAGAGCTATTTGGATATAAAATCAAAATCAATTAGCAAATGTTCCTTCAAGTCCATTTAGGGCATAATCTTGTCTCTAAGTAGTTGAGAAACTAACTTACTTCTTGGGGACCTTTTTAATATTTAAATCCTGAAACGTCTAAATATCTACTGTAACTTATGTATATTGACTCCACACACCAATGTTTACTAGCCTCCATGAAGACTAGTCTCTGAGTAGAAACAGACAGTGGTCAATATAATGAAATCTGAGAACTCTGATCAGTAACATCCACAGTTAAGATAACATATTTGAATTACATTTGCTGGGATTGATAAAATCTTCTGTTAGGACACTTGGGAATGATCACTTATTCATTCGATAAATATTTATTGAATATTTACTCTATGCCAGGCACTGTTCTAAGCAGGGGAGTTACAATAGCCAGCAAGACAGACCAGGTCCCTGCTCTCATTCTAATGAGGAAGACAGATAGAAACAAGGAACCAAGTGATAAATCAGTGAGATGCAGTCATGCATCACTTAACAACAGGGATACCTTCTGAGAAATGTGTCATTAGGTAACTTTATCATTGTGCGAACACCGTAGAGTGTATTTACACGAACCTAAATGATATAGCCTACTATACACCTAGGCTATATGGCACTAATCTTATGGGACCACCGTCGTATATGTGGTCTGTAGATGACAGAAACATTGTTAGGTAGCACAAGACTGTAATTTCAGGTAGTGATAACTGCTATAAAAAAATAAAAGAGAGAGAGAGGCTGGAGAGTCAGTACTGGGGCTGCTCTAAATACAGTAATCAAGGAAGGCCTTTCTGAGGAAGTGGCATTTGAAGTAAAATCTGAATGAAGAGAAAGAGCTAGCTATAGGAAGATCTAGGTTAGGGGAGAGCACTCAAGCCAGAGGGAGCAGCAAGTGCACTAACCCGGGGCAGAAAGGAGTTAGCATTGCAAAACACAGAGAAGACCAAAGTGGCTAAAGCATCTTGAATAAGGGGGAAAGTTATGTGACATGAAGCAGAAGAAATAGAGATATAAGCAGGGATATATCACGTAGGGCCTTAATGGCCATTGTTAAAAATTTGATTAGTGGGGCCAGCCCAGTGGCGTAGCAGTTAAGTTTGCACACTCCAATTCGGCGGCCCAGGGTTCACTGGTTCAGATCCTAGGTGGGGACCTATGCACTGCTCATCAAGCCACGCTGTGGCAGGCATCCCACATATAATGCAGAGGAAGATGGGCCCATGGATGTTAGCTCAGGGCCAATCTTCCTTAGCAAAAAGAGGAGATTACCTGTGGATGTTAGGTCAAGGCTAATTTTCCTAAAAGAAAAAGTGATTAGTATTTCAGCAACTATGAGATGTCATTGAAGAGTTTTAGTGAGCCCTAGTCATTCACACTTTAGCATGAATTGTTTTAACCTGACCCTTTCTCCTAAGAATTATTTTAGATTAATTGAAATTAATCATTAGGGGAAAGTGGTAGGAAAGGGTGTAAAATATTTTTGGAATTGGAGAACTGCTGCAGAAAGCATCCCTGGTTAGTAATTGGCTCTGAAAATTTGCAGGACAATGGACATGGTCCACAAGAGTCACCCACAAGATTAGGAATTTTGCTGTGCTCAAGATAATTGAGTTGAGAAAGAATAGTTGGTTTTCTTTTTCTTTTCTCTTTTATTTTTTCCATTTTATTTTCCAAACATTTCTGCAAACTATAAAGAATTAAATGGGGGGAGGGTGGGATCCATTGTGTGTATATATACATATATGTATGTGTTATGGCTTACCCTGAATTCCAGGCAATGTCAATGTCAGCCAGTCACTGGATAATGTTCATTGTGTGTCCTGGAAGTGAGCAGTGCTACATGTAGCTTTTCAGCATCAACATCAATCATTTCTTATATATTCAAATTTTTTTAAATATTCATATTTAAAATAAAAGATGTCTTTTCCTCTCATTCTATAATTTTTGTATAATGTTAACGTTAGCTATCTAACTAGATTCAGCTAATTCTAGATTTCCAGTATAACATTGTTGCTTTGTAATATAAAGGCCTATCCTACTATAGGGGAAAGCTTGATTTGAGGTTTACCAAATAAGAGAAGTCCATATGAAACCAATGAATCACTAATGTTTTTATTAAAATAATGTTTATAACTAAAGTTCTAACGTCAGACTTTTGTTTTTTGACTTGCCTTTTTCCCCTTACTCAGTAAATGCATTGCTGGGCTCTGTCTCATCACCACCCACATCTCCTGTAAGAATTCATTGAGATTTTCTTGCTTTACTTGCATAGTGCCTGTTCCTACACACTGATGAGAGCTCATTGATGTCCTTTCGTTTGAATGACAGTGTGCTGGTTATAGACAAAAATAAATATGGTTGAAAAAATTCAATACTCTGACCTGGTTTCCTGTATAAAGAGTCTACAGTTTAAAAAAAGACAGGATCATTGCTTAATAAGTCAATGACTCATACCTCTTGGCATAGTTCCCTGACCAAAAGAATGCCAAGTCCATTTAGGTTGTGTTTTTAGTTAATGGTCAATGACGGTTATTTCCAAGGTGATCTATGTATGGTATATTTTTTGCATATGAGAGATTTAAGAGGTTTTTAAATTACTGGCAAAATAATAAATGCTAAGCTTGCTCACATTTGGCTTATTGAGTTAAATTATAACCCCTTTTGTGAATATCTCAGAAAGTATTCTGAAGATCAAGATTTTCTTCTCTGGGCCTGAGTCGAAAGAAGCCTCAGTAATGATAATAATGCTACTATACCTGGTTCATACCAGCTTACGAGAGTCAGTTGTTACATTTTGGGGAATTTTGTGAGCCCATAACACAGCCATTATCACAAATTAAATTATATAAACTTACGATTAAATAAATTATATTTAAAACAAAAGTAATAAAAGTACCTAAAACTCTGTACTTCCTAATCATTTGACTACATTTTACTATCCATACTCTTGAAGTTGTTGACATCTACTGTACCTATATGGTGGAAATACTGCATAATGGTGTTGCTACTTCCCATCTCTTCCCAACCCCACGTACAGTGACATCAGATGGGTAGCTTGAAATAGACCATAGTGGACGTATTTTACATAGTGTCAGAGCTGAAAGAGGTTTTAATTTAATGAAAATACTTTGTATGAAGGTGAAAAATAATTTAACAGTAGATCACATAAAAGATGCAGTGATGATAAATTTATTGGGAAAAGAGCAGATTGAGATGCCACTCAATGCATGATTTTGTGAAATCATGGTTGGATTGCTGGCTATAGATACGAGAGTGTGACCAAAATCAATGAAAGCACTCTGTGAGACTCAATTGGCTGTATGGAACGTGCAATAAAGAGTACTGTCTATTTTCTTATTATTTGTAGATAGTGCACTACACATCATTTATATCAGTAACATTTATAATAAATCCACATACATATGTATGCGTGCTTTTTCCTCTGGAGAGGCCCTTGTTAGACACTGACCAGACACTACTGGTTCTGCAGGAAAGATGAAATTCAATAGGTACCTTAATAGCAGCTTTTTCAGAAAGTTATAATGGAGAGCAAGTTTGTGTCTTTGTGAACATAATCTGTTAAAATCAGTGTATATTCATGCTGATACCAGTTTGGTTTACCAATATTGAAAAGGGTTTTGCTTCCATTTTTAATTTGAAACTCTTCCAGTTTGAAAGAGAATCAGAATTTCAACCAAATGAAGCTGTAGACATTTTTGCTCCCCCTGGAGTCTCATGGCTATCACATAAAGTTTGGGGAATATTATATATTTATAACTGTGACTTACAAAAAAATACTTTGTAAGTTAAATTATTGGACCAGGTTTAATTGATTTTAGTTTAATATTTTCACCTTTAAATTCACCAAAAAGGTGTGTAAATATCCAGTCAAGAGCAGTGTCTACTTGCTTCATGAGCAATTTGGCAAGCTCAGATAGTCCTTTAACCATCTGACCTGCAGGGAGCAGGAATACTGAGCATGTCAGACCAGAAAATGGCCTCTGGCCCAACCACCCCAGAGATGGAAGCTGCCAGATCACACCATGGTTTTTAACTACCTGTTATATATTTCAACAGAAATCCTGCCCCAACATGTATCAAATGATTTCTATATGCAATATTAAATAGGAATTACTAGACACTGGTGTCCTGTTGTGTGGAGTTTTAGCAGTCTATCATTCCGCATGGTTTATATACAGAAATAGTCATTCAGACAGGACTTGGTGTTTGTTTCATTCAAAAATACATTAGATCCCTTATTTGGTGAAAAACTCCCCCAAATGGTATTAGTGGGGAAATGAAGACACCCATGAGGTCTAATCAAGTACTGAAAATTACTTAGTTTTTCAAGTTGATATTTGTTTAGTTAAATTCTCAAAATGCCAGCAAAAAATCCAGAGATGAAGCAGGTGCGTGTTATGAGAAGACTGGAAAAGGTCATTTGGGTCCATTATATAACTACCACTTTTTGTTTTTATTCAAGGTGTCATAAAACTGAGTTCTGCAGTTGAAGGTACGTTTTTACAACCACAAAATCAGTAACGTTGTGCTTCAAGGTTGCATAGCGTGGCTTTGTAGCTGGACCGCTTCTGTGGCAGCGGTGTTTGACGCCATGTTCGCCATTCCATCTGTGTTGCTCCTCGTTCTGGTCGTTTTATGCCGCGCGTCTCTCAGCTGCATTGATGAGAGGGAACAAGCCTATTTCTAGTTCCTGATGTGATTTCCCAGGCCCAGTGCTTTTTAAAGATTCCCTTGCTCTCCAACAGCTTTATTTGAATCTGGACATTGAGTCTTGTCAGGAGCCCTGCCCCCCATTCTTTCAGTGAGTCCTTCTCTGGCGTGTTTTGGTCCCTTATCCCAATGTAGCAGTCATGTTTGCCCAGGAAGTATGTAGGCATGGAGTCGTTAAAGCTTCCTCATGAGAAAATTGAGTGATTAAGGCATTTGCCAGTCTCAAATGCAGGTTCTTCCTGAGCAGTGTGATGTACCACCCAGGAGGTCTTTCAAGGACCAGCTTTCTTTAGTGTTATCCACACCATCCTCCCCATGAGTGGCAGTTCCCTTTGGATGTGCATTCAAGGAGCTGAAAAGAAAATGAAGAGAGATTTAAAGAAAGAAGAGGATTGGTGGGAGAAAGAAGACATCACAGTGTTTTGCTGAGTGACACCCTGAGGATGTTAGAAATACCTCATTGTTTGAAGTGATTAATTGGTTATTGGTATAAAATTGATCTCCTTGACCTCATAGGAGCATACAATCCGAAAGTAGAGAATGTGTCATTTTTCTCTTTTCGTGAGCTTCTGTGTTTGTTTTCGTGTGTGTGGGCATGTGTTCTCATTTATTGGGAGTTTGTCAGTCATGCTTCGGAGGTTTCTTCATCTCCGCTTAATCAGGGAGGCTCCTTGGAAGAGGTGGTGGGCTTTAAGGTGAGTCTTCGCATTTAAAGGGAGATGTGGCTTGATGAACGGGCAATGCATGGAGGTGGGAGTGGAAAAATGCTGGGGGGTTGGGAGGGGTGAGACCATCTGCTTGACTCAAGCAAGGAGATTGGGTGGGCTGGAGTCTGAAGACTGGGGAGATGAGAGAGGAGCTCAGTAATGTCCCCAGGGGACTGGCAAATCCAAAGTGGATGACTCTGGGCCTTATGTAGATTTAGTACCATCTCATTATACAAAACAAAGTTGAAAAGGCAATATTTCTGACATTCATGGCAGAAAGGATGCTACTCCTCTAAAGTTAGGAAAGGACCAGGAGAAGGCGCAGGCAGTGGTGTTTCCAGGTGGAGAGAGGAGTAAAATGACGTTGCCTCGAGGAGTGAGCGAGGGCACAGTGCATGTTCCAGGCCTGTATGAGGCCCAGTGGGAATTCAGTTTCCCTCTGCACAATACCATGGAATTTTATTGAGAGACTATCCAAACCTCTCCCTGCCTGACAAAACAGAGGAGACGCAGCGACAAAACCGCGCAGGACCGTGAGAAAGACCTTGCCTGCCGAAACTCCCAGCGGCGAGTGAGCACTGAGCTTCAGTTAATTCTCTGCAGGATTCTGGATAACAGTTGGTCCACCCTGGGCTGTTTCGATGTTTTATCAAGGAATGGCTTTGAAGTCAGAGCTTTCCATTGCCTGCTTGCCTTAAGCATAGTTCCACTTGCAACAAAAAGATGGAAAAACAAAATAAATTTTTTAAAAAGCCAGAAAGCCAAGAGAACGTTAGATAATTTTAAAACTATCGTTCTGCTGGGACTCTTGTTCTGTTGATCATTTTGCTAGTAACTGCTGTTACTACTGGGTGCACGGCCTGTCTGAACCTCCCAAACAGGTTTATGTTCTTCGGAGAAAGATGAGAGTGAGGAAAAATAAGGACAAGAAACAGAATGACTACCTGGGGCTTTTTCGGCAGCCTCCTCATCACTTGGCCTCCTCTGAGTCCCTGGGGCTCACAGGAAGTTCTCTGGAGTGGCCGTGGGTACCAGAGGTCAGGCCTACTTCGACTGCTGCTTGAGCATCTTTTTGGCAGCCTCTTGGCAGAGGGCTGTAGAAGCTTGAAGGCTTGGGAGCATGCTCTGTTGTAACCGTGTTAGAACATGTGTGTGCAGGGGGCCGTCTGGGGTGCAGCTGTCGGGCACGATGTGTGCGTGTGCTCAATGCATGCAGTTCTTGCTGCATCTGGAATGTGAGATTTTTGAGAAGCATGCTCAGTGGAATGTGTGTCAGACACTATCTCTTGATTCGAAATCAAACCTCAGATGGTAGTCCTGATAAACCCGTAGCCAATTCCCGTACTTGCTGTTTTCCATCTGCGGAACGAACTTAAAGCAGCTTCATACAGCTTATCATGGCAAGGAATATGCAAATCAGTGGCAGGGATCCACTGCCAGAGATGAAACCTATTCCCTTTTCTTTAATAACCACTCTGTTCTGGATTATCCTAGAACTCTGAAGATAGCGTTAATATTTTAGGTAGGTTATCTTTTTTTTTTTCCTCTTCTCTTTAAGGAAAAATAATTGTCAACGTCATAAGAGAAAATCAACAAAGATTCCATTTGCTACTTTCTACCAAGTATTTTTGTCTTGCCGTTTAGTTCCTTCTTTTTTTCTGGAGCACGGGTGCCCCCTTCAGCATTGTGCAGCTTCATGTGAGCTTTTAAAATCAGCAGAAAGATAAAAGCTATTTTATCACATTAATGGTAAGGTTAAAAGTGAAATGTCCTTTCATGTTTTAAAGCCTTAAAATTACACATAAGCAGAAACACACACCAACGCTTTAATTATTTTGCTATGAAGAAAAATATATGAACAGGAAAAAACGTAAGTTTGAAAGATGTAATTGCAAAGTTTTATTGAGAACACTGTTGAATTCTGGACTTTAATTTTAAATTCATAATCCCAAACTCTGAGAAAATTGAGGGAAGAGAAAAATCCAGACAGCAAACGGGGGCAAGAGGAGAAAACCATCCATGGCAAGAATTCCGTGATAAAATCTTCTGAGTATTCCTCTTAAAAGGGATTTTCTCTCCTGAAATTGAAGCAGGGAGAAGCAGGGGAAGAAGACATCTATCTCCACAAGTAGGACCAGCACATCAGCCTAATCAAGGTGAAATGAGAGGAAGGCCACAGAAGAGCTGAGTCATGCCTGAGTTAGAATTACTCTGATGCTCTTTAGGCAGCTCTTTCTTTCCCGGGAGGGAGGCTCCAGCCCCAGCCAGAAGCTCTTTATCCAGCAGACACGGTGTGTTCAGACATGCGGGAGTGGGGAGGCAGAAGCTGGAGGGACAAGATGAGGCAGCGCAGGCTGATGACAGGCCTTTGCAGCTGATAACCAGGGTGTGTTCTCTGAGGAGATTTGTCTGAAAGGCGATTTGTTGATGCCTTAGAGGTAGGTGAGAATCCAAAATACCAAAATGACCTCAGATTCTTTTGAAAGCCTGTATGAGGGAATGAAGCTTGGCTTCTTTGAAAAAGTTCCATGTCTTTAAAAACAAGAACAGATGAGCCTCTATCAAGCAATCTAATAGACGAGATGATGGTCCACGCCCCCAGCCACTTGCGGTGGCCCCTTGCGAGGGGATGCCGCCAAGTTTCAGTTAGCACTCAGGTGAAACTTGTGAGCATTAACAGTAAAACCTGGAGCGTCTCCAGGAACAGCTTCCATCCCATAAACAAAAGCTCCCCCGTGCATGTGGAGCTTTCGTTTTCCTTTTTGCCTCTTGTCACTTCATTTTATTTAGATATTTTTTAAGTGTCTTATTTCTCCAGGGTAATGGCTCATGTTTTGTTTTAGGGGTAAAAATTATGCTCAGAGACTCAGACTGTCTCCACCAATAGTTTAACACAAGTGCACCGTGGGATTTCTAATAGTTTCACAAGCCAATAGTGCACAGGATAATGTCTCTTAATAAGCCAATAAAGAAGTAACACAACATACTCCAAACCAAGGATAGATTACTGACACTGTTGTTCTAAGCAAGGGGAGACATAAAGAATAAAGTCCAAATTAAATTGAGGGGTACCTTTTTATAGGAGCAGGCACTCAGGAGAGATGGCTTGACCAACCGAGAGCTGATGTCCAGCTGCCAGCGCAAAGTCAAAGTGAGAAGTCCCCTGTTGCTAGAGCACATTGCCAGGGAAGGATGGCCCCGGTGCCGGTGGGCAGGATAAGCTTCCAGGGGCCCCTGCGCAGCTTTTGTCATTACCAGTAAGGGAGTCACCCTTACCACAGTAGGAGTTAATGTCCCAAGGTCTTCAGACAGTTTATTTAGATCAGCAAAGAGTGTCTTGCCCCAAACAAAAGTCTCTGATATTCCTCACAAACTCTGGGTATTTATGGTCTAAATGTCCCCTTGCCATAGTGTTTTCTTCCCATGTTCTTATCAATAAGCCCCAGGCAGTGTTCGTCATCAGCTCAGCTACTGAGGTCTTATCAACAACAGATGAGCTGACGATATCCTGACTTACTTCATTCTTACATCAAAATAACAACTGCTTTTCTTTCTTTCTTTCCTTGTCATAAACAAGTGGATTAAAACAAGGTATCCCACATGCAAGGTGGAGGAAGGTTGGCACAGAGGTTACCTCAGAGCTAATCTTCCTCAAGCAAAAAACGAGGAAAATTGGCAATGGATGTTAGCTCAGGGCGATTCTTCCTCACCAAAAATTAAAAAAAAAAAAAAAACTTCGCTAACTTCACCTAAGTCATAAACAAGTCGATTTGAAATCATATCAAAGCAATACACAACAGCTCGTGAGCCACAGTCCCTGTCAGAGCAGGGACTTAGGACTATGGCCACATCCAAGGTGGTGTTTTCTATGGCCTCATACGGCCTCAGACCCAGCAAATGGAACAACCCCTCAAGAATAGGAAAAAATAAAATAAGTAAAAACTTGACTGGATCTTTGTTCCCATTTTCAAAATTCACAATACCCACGGCTTAATGTCTGTATCCTAAATCTGTAAAAAATCTTTTCAGTTATGAAGCTCTGATCTGACCTTACAGGCTTGTTGAACACTGAGAT